CAGGAATGCAAGTGGTTATGATTCCAGATGAAAATTTAAATCCAGATCTTAAAAAGGAAGCAACACTAGTGCTGAACTCTATGGAGGACTTCAAACCAGAACTGTTTGGTTTACCAGCATATGATTAATCCTAGCATCTATGAACATGTATTTGACTGGGGATCAGGAAAGGGGAATAAAAACTTGTTAAGGTTTTATGATTGTTTTGCATTTTGCCCCCCAGTCCTCACAACTAGAGCACCAAAATCCTGTTAACAGCAAGTCTTCCATACTACTGTTAAAATTGACTGGAATGTTTATCATTTGCTCTCCATGATGAATGCTATGCATTTCTTCTTGGGAAGTGAATCCAGCTTTGTTCTATGCACGTCATAATGTTTTCTGGGAATGCTATGAAACTATTTAGACAATTTATTGAAACTGCACTTGAAGCTTCCTGTTTTGTTTCCAGTTGAATGACTTGTTGTTTAGCTCTTAACCAGAAATCTGTTCTCAGCTGACTCTTGTCCCATTACATAGTTTTTGATCCAGTTATTGCTATCAACATGTTTATGCTTTTCCTTTTCCTATAGTTGCCCATGTATTCCCTCGTTTCCCCTTTTCGTTTCTTATTACAATTATTTTTGTTGTTGTACTTTCCTTATTTCCTTGTTTTGTTTTCTTGTGTGGTTGATCGAGATGACCTCCAGAGGTCCCTTAAAATCTACATTATTCTGTGATTCTGTGCTTATTCTTTCTAACAACATGATTGTTTGCAAGGAGCTATGCAATATTATGCAATCCTACACCTTTAATGAAAATCCTTTGCATTCTTTGCTTTCTTTATGTTTTTCTTATTTTCCTTTTGGTCATGTTGCTTTTTATTCCTGCGAGACGAATCCACTTTATCTCACAGCTTTCATTGTGATGAAGTATCTGTTAAAGCTTTAATTTCCTGGCATTCAAGTTGTTTTTATGGGTAATGCTTAATATTCCATTGTTTATGCAAATTTCCTTGTAGACTTTTTTTTTCTGTCTGTTTTAGTGAATGTTATAGTTTATTTTTTTTGCCATTTTTGACCATATTTTATCATAATTTTCACAAAAAAAAAGACTTGTAACCTTTCCTTCTTCAGAACAAGGGTGAGGATCTTTTCAGAAAATACTATATATTTGGATAAGTTTTGGTGGAGTACACACACACACATATATATATAGTATGGTGGAAATAATGTGTTTTACTTTTTTTGTCACTTGGATAACCACCAACTATTTTACCTCCATCCTTAGATCTAGAAAAGCTGTAATATGCAGACTTCAAGACAGTTTTATAAAATTGTTGGCAACATTCAACCTTTAAAAGCTAAATTTCTGAGTGACTACAGATAAGATAAATTATGTATGAGAAGGGTCAAGTTGCCAGTATCCATGCTTTTTAAGATTGAGCTACTGTAAGATACCACATAATAACTCCATTAATTCTTTAATTTCCAGGTAACATCATTTTCAGGAATTTCTGGCATTTATTATTTTAGGTGGAAGACTGTTTTGATTGAGAACAAAAATAAATTAATCTTAGATGCTTCAATATTCTGGATGATTTTCCTTGTGGCATTTTTTCCTCCAAGAGTGAAAAAAAAAAAAAAAAAGAAACCATTACAATCTACTTAAAAAAAAAAAAGGTAGAAGTAAAAAAGTAAAAGTAGACTGTTATTGTTTTCTGTTATGTAATCTACTTCTGCCTCTAAAAATTTTATTGCCTTCTGCCAGCCAAATATGATATATCAAAGATTTTTGGAATATACAATATAATAGTTTGAAGATTTTTGATCCAAAAATCCGGCAGCATTTTTTTTAAAGGGTAAATGTGGTTTCTGTGTAGTGATTTTGCATATTATATAATTTGTTTAAACCTATGGAGGTTGTAGTCCCAGCATTCATACAGTGTTAAAAAAAGATCCCATCCACTATGAATTCCATTTCTGTTTTTTCCTGTCAAGATAGGTTGCTATGTAATTCCTTCCTTGACTTATACTTATGTTACCTATCACAAAAGTGTTACACTGGAGCAATAATTCTGAGCTTTCAAGTGTAAAACAGGTGCCTGTTGGGATCTCCTTCGTTCATAATTACTGAATTCCAGCAGTGAAGTTACTAGGTAGAACAAGCTCTAATAAGTTGTAATTAGTAACTTTTTCAAAGTTTTGCATATGTTTAATTTTTAACTTGGGAGCTTTACAAGAAAATGAAAATGGAGCACATGTCTTATGGTGTACTTTCAGGGAACAACCATCAAAGTCTTGCATTAGTTTTTTAAAGATGCAGAGACACTAATAAATATCACTGATAATACCAGGATTATTTTGTCATGACAATCAAGTGATCAATGTACCCTTTCACTCCAATTTAGTAATCTCATCTTTTGCTAAGAATGAAGAGTCAGGAAACTTTCTTTTAACTCCACAGTAAATCCCATCGCGCGCATTTATTTTTTTTCTGCATTTAATATCCCATCCAACAGTTTTCTGTGAGATTATTGCCCCAAACTGAAATCTGTCAAACAGAGCCATATGATACATCTTTCACCTCCTTTTAGTAAAATTCCATCCAATCTTTTATGGCTTTTTTTTGCCTGCTTTCTTTCGTGTCTCAACTGACTCTTACTAAAGCAAGTATTGTACCATGATTAGCTCTTCTCTTGACTGAATGCAAAGTCAAAAAAATAAACAAAATAAAATTACTCATTTACAATAATCTGAAAAATCCCATCATTGCACCGGATGAGAGGTGGCTATTCATGACAGCCTTAGGTGACTGTAGTCTGCCTCATTAACTATATACCAAATATCAGCATATGTTAGGATGTATTTCTTTTTGTTGAATTTGTTGCTCTGTAGCTCAGTCATCTCAACAACAGCTGTTTGGATGAAAAAAAAAAAAAAGATCAAAAACCTGGATCTTTTCCCTTCCTTCCATCTGCTACCCTCCAGATGAAGTCCTGTTTTGACTGGACTAAAAAAAAAATCCATAGCAGATCCTGGCTACAGATCTTCAGGACATCTGAGCAATCAGGACATTTGAATGCTCCATCTGTGTTTCTATGAAGAGGACTGTAATCCAAAAAGTAATCTAAAAAATCTATACTCAGCAAACAGACTTTAATCCAGAAGAATACTTCAGTACATGGCTAAGTCTTTTTTCATTAAACATATCAAATAAGAAAATGCTTAATTTTAAGGATACATTTAGGTTTATTTGATTTAAAATAAAACATGTGCTTCAGTCCTTTCCTGAAGAGAAAAGTTCTCTAGAATACAGGATTTAATGCTATGGCAAGAAAACCATATTCTGAAATTATAGGTTTAGGACAACTCTGCTTCTGTATCAAACAAATGAAAGAAGGAAAGCATGTATTACTGTCCTAGTAAATGGTGGCCAATGCTACCAGGTAAATGGTAGCCAATGCACACATCATTATTTGAACTTATTGATGCTCTGTATTTTGTTGTCATTGTCAAATATCTGCTGTATTGTGCTAATCGAGCATTACACAGTTGCTTCATTTAAACTCCTAGTTGTAACCTTTGTAAACCTAAATAAGTAAATTCCAGCCTCCATAGGCAAAAGGCAAAACTTTGTGGCCAAGTTTTTGTCATTTGAGTAAGGAATATAGCTTATGTGTAGCAAGACGGAGCCAAATCCAGATATATAATTAGAAAAGCAGGTCCATGATATGTGAGAAGTTGTATTAGACTTAAACTTCCTCCTGCTTCACAAGTGAATTAGGTTTTCCATTTACTGGAACTCTCTGGGATTCATCATGGTAAAATTTCCAGGACTGTCATTCTGAGTTGCAAAGACAATTTTGAACAAGAGCTTCATTGAAGCTTCATTGTATTTAGAAGAAAATGCATAGCGTTATATACAGCAATAATTTCAAAACATAATCCAAATTCTTTGAACTTGGCATTTACATTTACAAATAAAGATCAGAAGAAGCTTTAAATATTTATTCTCCTTTAAATTAGATGTCTTTCTAAAGAATGCTATAATTAAAATTTCTATAATTAAATAGAAACTCCTGTACAGAATCAAGCCTACATGCCAAGTATTAAAAAATTCTTTAGTCAAAACAAAACTAGATAATTAGAAAAAGAAATGCGAAAAACTTCATATTAAGAACCAATGAAATAATTTTCCGCTGCATTGAGGTTTATTCTTATCTTTAATAGAGAGTGGTTTAACTGAAGCTTAAGATGTCTGCTTTATTACGTGCTCTAAAAATTGTTTATCCATACAGAAGTTTTTGGAATTGTTGTTGTTGCTGATTTGTAATCTTGATAAATTTTGAAGAACACCAAGAACTCCATAAGCGATATGAAAAATATGTCAATTTATTTGTGTCTACTTTGCCACTTTGAAATTTCAATGAACTTCTTGTGTTCTGACATTGAGAGGGTAGAACAGGCTTGCGCCAAATTAATAGAATTAATATAGAAGTACTAGAGTTGAGGAAAAGAAACTCTCTCAGAACACTCGTCTTTCAAAGAAGATATGACTCATCCTCACATTATGCTAACTTTCGCTTCAGCAGATCCTTCATAAATTGTGGGTTTAATCTCTACTTACTAATGTGACTAATGTGATAAAAGAGATCCTTTTGGGCAAGAGAAGTGGGGAGAGGACTTTGAGTGAAGCTGTTATGAGATTTTCCAAGGCTGAGGAGTCTTCACTGACAGCAGATGCCCTCCAAATGGTGCCTTTGTCCACAACAGATGATAATTCGGTGCTATGTATAAAATGGTTTTAAAAAGGAGGGATTATCAAAGTATTCTGAGAAAGACTGTTAGTCTCTTCTGTTCTGTAACTCTTTGACTGATAGATGTTAAGCTATTAGATCCAAAATGTTAGCAGTTGGCTCTCTGTCCTGTAGTTAAGCCAAGTAGAGCACTTCCGCCCGGAGAAAGTATTTCAGTTCTTACCCCTCTCTTCACAGTTCTTTGCCAGGATATCTGTGAAGCTGAAACAGTAAGTCAAATTTTTAAAAGAGGAGATAATTGCAAATACACATCATTGTTTAGATTCAAGAAAATAGCAGAGAGCATCATTTAATGGAAAGTAAAATAGCAGAAAAAAATGCATGGTCCTCCACTAACCTCTTCCTAATAAGGACTTCCCACAGGGAAGGAAGTAACCTATGAGGTAA